CAGCTACATCCAAACTCAGAAGTTTTAGCAACGTCCTTCTGTAGAGAATACCTGTACTGAAGGGTCCCCCCTTTCCCATACAACACTGCACAGATACCCTCCCTCCTCCTCCTCCTTTGGAGTCGCAGGGTATGCAGACAGCAGCAATGACTTTCGTGTAACTGATAGAAGGAACGCTTTCCTCGTGCTGACTTCACTATTTCAGGAGCTTTGTTTTCATACAGCGAACATCTGACCTCCTGTTCCGGAAAATCAGCCTTAGAAGTTTTGCTAAAAATAACTGTTATTGGATAAATCTACTTGTGACCTTGGGTTTTTTTTTTCTTTTTGCCACTAGTACCCTCCTTCACATTCTGAGCTCTTGCTGCAAGTGCTGCTTTGACTGTTATAAAATAGAAATGGGTCAGGAGATAAAAATACTTAGTATTTTAAACAAACCAACACCGGTTATAGTTTACCTGCAGACTGACAAATCAGGTCACTCAACAGCACAGCCAAACTGGTGAGCTCCCCTGCAGCAGCTGAGCTTGCTCCACTGTTAAGAAATTATTATTGGAAATTGTTACCATTAAGAAATTAAAATTTTCCTTTTTCTTCAACAGCAACTTTGAAATACAAGGAAAGATTTATGGCAAAGTTTCTAAGACTGTGTAAATTACTGGAATTCCTGTAAAAGCATTAATACTGGCTGACAGTCTGCCCCTATAGTTATACCACCTGGATGCTGAGCCATAACATAGAGCTCTGTCTGTGTTTTCTGAGATTTGCCACAATTTAGTTTAAAGATTTTTCAAGTTAAAACTTGGGTATCACTAACGAAGTTTTAGTTTTCCTCCCTGCGCCTTTTCCGTGGTGATAATCAGGAGGATATATTTGGATTCACTTAGGAACACATCCGTGCTGTTTACTAGGAGGTTTCTGCAGCGTCTGGCTCCAGCCCTGCTGACTGGCTGGGAGCAGACCTCAGAGAGGGGAGGGGAGTTCTGCTTTCTGTAGCGCTTCTCACTCGTCACCAGGATGCTGCTGTTGTGTCATGATTAAAAAATGTTGGCTTTGCTTTTGTTGGTCAATATTGCAAAATGATTCCTGACATTTCTGCTGTGTATTTTGGGAGAAATCTGTTTCGGTCTTGGACTGTGCTTTTAATTGAAAAAAAAAATGCCTTCCACCTAAAGAGCTTAGTTAAGATTATATTTGTTTAATGTATTGGTTTGTTCAAGAAAATCTCAAAAAAGGATTAGAAGTGAGTACTGAGTTTATCAGCCAGGCCTGTGTCTGGATTAGATTATAATTGTCTTCCATCGAGTTACTCAAATACTTTCCTGATCACTCATTGAGAATATTACGTTTTCCCTTCTTCTTGTGGTTTCCTTTTCCTTCCTTGTGGCTGGAACTCTAATTTTTCTTCTGATAAAAGCTTGTGGCTGTCATGTAGTTTGCTTACACTAGCTGAACAGCACACAGACGCTGAGACGTTGTCAGCTTAATAACTATGAAATAAATCCATCCGTAACACCTAAATATATGCATGGATGTGGGATACATTAAGCATCAGAGCACAATGTTGTAATTAATGTCACTTAATACCTGGATCTGGATACCTGGGACACAGCAGCTGGAACAGAGTAACTGCCAGTGGTTACTGTTCAAACGTCAGCATTGCCATTGGGTTTACACCAGGGCTGCGGGAGTCCTGCCGGCGAGGTAGGGCAGGGCAGGAGCCCTGCTGCTGAGCTCAGGCGAAGGCATAGAACCCGGGAGGGCTGCCCAAGCCGTTGGGAAGCGCTGGCAATGCTGAATGGTCACTGCAAAGCAAAGTGGTTTGCATCATTTGCACTCAGGCTCTGGTGTGGGAGCAAAGACAGGAGTGGGACAGAAATCCAGGGGGGTGCATCTAATAACTGACATTTCTGCAGATCTAGAAAGGGACATAGACCTTGAGACCCTCCATGCCTGACTTCTAGGAGTCTTTGGCTCTAAAAGTTAATATCCTATTTGTCTTGGGAACCAAATGAGTCTGGGTGGAATCACCCAAGTACAACAGAAAAATTCAGGGATTGTGGTCCTCAAGCAATTGGGTAGAGCCAGCTAGTTCATTCTTCTAGTCTCAAGCTGTTTAGTTTGTTCAGGTGGGTTTTGGGTGTTTTTTTTTTTTTTGAGAGAGTGGCAATATTGGATGAGGTTTGTGCTGAATTCATTATCATTGTAGGTTAGGACTGATTAGAGCCTCTCTGTCAAATTGTATCTCAGAGAGGACTGGGTATCTGCCCCCCGCCTAATTTATGACCCTCCATCAGGGTTAGGTGAGAACTGGGTGCCAAGATGCAAAGGTCTGCCGCGACATCAGCAGTTGTGAGCATGCACAGTAGCAGAACCTGGAGAAATTTACTGGCAAAAACACTAGGAAAACAATCAGCTTGGAAATAAGCAACTATTTCTTTCCTGAGACTTGCTTTATTATCAAACACTGTATCTTATTTTTTGCATGCTTTTGCATCAAGCTGTGGCCTGCACAGGCGTTTCACTTAAGTGAAACAGAGCTGCCTATAGCTTCTCTGTGTCATCAGTGCTAATATGGAGTAAGACCAGATACGAAATGAATTGCTGCTGTGTCCAGGAGGCAGACTCCAGACCTGTATCGTTGTTCTTTGTTGATGAGGCAGTATTGCTGGACCTAGTGATACCGTTGCCACTTACATCACAAGAAGTTGGATCGAGCTTTTGTGTACAATTCACGATACCTTTAAAATCCAGGGCAACTGTGATTTATTTTAAGCTGCAAAGTTTTTGCACAACTTAGTTTAAATGAGCTTACAGCAGTCTTCACCGATGACATTTTCTGGATCTCCGTTTTTTCCTAAATTTTGCATTCCCCCAA